TTTTTTTTTTTAATTAGACGTAAGGATTCATAATATCCATAAAAAGTTTCTGGTAAAGCTATTATCGCTGACCTTTACACCATACAATATTCTCAATACACGTTATAACTCTCACACTTCTATTAACGATACCGAGACGCTACACGCACACATACGTGTAGATATGTGTACGTATAGATACGTGTATATATGTATATGTTGTATGTTTGTGTGTATGTATGTGTGTGTGTGTGTATGTGTGTATGTATGCGTGCGTGTACGTGTGTATATGTGTGTGCGTTTTCCATATTTGACAGATAAAGAGATAGAGATGGGCGCGAATGTCTCAGTCAATGATGACGATTCCCTCGTCATGCACTTCAATACCAATGAGTCAGTCACTCTCTCAGACGCTCTTCTTCGGTTTAATTCCATACTTTCTCATACCTCTGCCCTCTCTTCACATTCCCACTCTCTCTTTGTTTGGAGAAAACGCACATCGTTCTCATTTGCCTACTTGACACACACACACACACACACACACACACGCACACACACACACGCACACACACACGCACACACATATGTACATAAACATATATACATACACACACACACACATATACATATATATATACATGCATACACACATACACACATACACACATACACACATACACACATACACACATACACACATACACACACACACACATACATGAACACATACACCCACACACCTGCCCACACAGTCGTCCCATATAAGCGGGAGTTGAGTGGTCGGTTAGAGAGGGGAATATTGGGGGGTTGAGAGGGGGAGGGGATGGACGATATTTTGATACTTTAGGATATTGCTCGTCCATTCTCTCAGAACATTTATTAATGATATAGTGCACACGGCACGTTCCGATGTATGTATTTTAACGTAGACGTGCTATACGTATGTTACGCTTTAGTAGGCATTCAGTTTAATTGCTATATGTTTGGAAAATAATGAAGGCTTTGAATATTGATAGTTTGTTTCATTTTGACTTTAACAATTTGCTTAATTTATTCGGTTTAAAAAAAAAAAAAATGATTAAAGCACGTCTACTTTCGTTCTTTCTGCTCTCTCTCTCTCTCTCTCTCTCTCTCTCTCTCTCTCTCTCTCTCTCTTCCTTCTTCCATCATTTCCTTGCTTTTCTTTCTTTATTCGTTAGCTGTGAATTCTATTAGTAATCATTCCGATCTTTATTTTTCATCTCTTGAACAAACATATATACATTCATCTCTTATTATATATTTATGAGATTTTTTTTTTTTCATCCTAAAATTTTCCTGAAGCTGAATTTTTTTTTTTTGCTTTTCCCATAATTTTTGTTTTTGTTTTTTCAAATAATTTAGTCAGAGATAAATGAAACTATAGAATTTGCATTACTTTATAGAATAAGTTCATTTGTATGGAATATGCAAAAAGTTTCATTTATCTCTGACTAAATTAAATGAAATTCACACATAGTATGACGAGAATTCATTTCATTTCATTTTATCGTCTGTTCTTCCTTATACATTCTTTTAGTATGAATCAATGATCCCAATATTGTAACATTTATATTATCGGTTACTATTAGCTTTTTATGCATTATGTTAAATTTTTAAAAATATTTGATTAGAATGATTTTTTTGCTTTTAATCTGACGGAAGTTTTTTCTTCTAATGATAGGAAAAAATTTGTTATTGTTAACTCTTTTACATATATTTTCATTGGAACCAGTACATTGGGTCACATAAGTAATCATTATTGGTTAAGATAAGAGTAATATTTTCTGTGCATAAACCTAAGACTTGAAAAAGAGATATAAACGTATGTGTTAACGAAGTCATTATTGATGATATGTGTAAATAATTTTTATTGATATTTATTATTAATATAACGTTAGCCATCTGTTAGCCATCTATTATTAATATAACGTTAGCATGTATGTTAGCCATCTGTATTTCCATAGCTATCATTAAATTATGGTAATATCGATACCATCACAGCAATACTTATCAATCCAGGCAATTTCATCTATTTATTTGGATTTTTTGCGTTCTTGCCATTTTAATCTTTTTTCAGTTTGACGGAAATATGCCTCGTCCACGTGTTTTCTTCGATATTGAGATTGGTGGACAACGATCGGGACGTATCATTATGGAGGTCAATTACTTTTCTTTTATATTTGCTGAATTGACATCCTTAATTCACAACGTTGATAAGGGCGACAGCCGGAAGTTGAAAATTTTTTTTTTTTTTTTGTTTAAGCCTTTGACATTCTAACATTAGTTACGTTTTATAGATCAGTGAGAAAAAAGAGAATTTTCCGGCTATTTATCCATTTAGTTAATATAGGAATGGATAAGTATATCTTAGAGTAAACTAAGCTGCTTGAAAAGACGAAAACAAACTTTTACTTTATGAATTAATGCTTTGCAGTATTGAAACATAATGCTTTCCATAATGTGTCCTTTAAAAATATCAAACATATTTATGATGAGTGATAAGGCTATGATTTTTGAAATTTAATCTTAATACAAGTAATGACAATAGTAGCAGTAGCAGTTATTTCATAGATTTCGATTGTTTTTCATTTTTAAATGCTTTTAATAATAACTGGGTAACGTTAGTGGAGTAAAAATAACTTGTAGTAGTTAATTATGAAAGAAAAATGATAGTTAAAGGTAAGATTATATTAGATTTGACATTTTTTCAGCTGTTCAATGATGTAGTGCCGAAAACAGCTGAAAATTTCCGTGCATTATGTACGGGTGAGATGGGAATTGGTAAGTCAGGGAAACCACTACATTATAAAGGTTCAACATTCCATCGCGTCATCCCGAATTTCATGTGCCAGGTTTGTCATATTTGTTCTCATTTTGTTATTTCACTCGAACTATGCTGTAATTAATGTTTATACAGTTTATGGAGTTTTATTGTTAGATTCTTTTCTGTGAGCAAATTTTTCTCTATTACAAGTTAATAGTAATGCAAAAAATGCGGATGTAAGCTGTAAATAGTAACACATAAAATATGTGAGTCCGTTGTCCTATAAGATTAGTGGCTTTCAAGAAATGGATCATTGAAAATAAATTCTCTAACAGAAAAGAACAAAAAGATGGAAGAACAATTCGCAGTTGTTGTTGTAAGGAAGTCAATTTCAATTGTTCAAAAATTGATGCAAACTTCTCTTTAAGGGTGGTGATTTCACGCGTGGCAATGGAACCGGAGGTGAATCTATTTATGGTAAAAAATTTGAAGATGAAAATTTTAAGGAGAAGCACAGTGGACCTGGTGTACTATCCATGGTAAGCGTATACGACAATAATATACGTAGGTTGCAATTATCGCCGCCGTACGGTAGGTATGAAGTATCGATTACGATTACGATTTTTTGAATAATGATGCGAAGGATTAGTTCATATTTTAATTTTATACAGAAACTCTATAACTTTTTTATTCCCATATCTTACTTATAAAAACTTGTAAAGTTCATAGCGAAAGATTATTAGCTGAAAAAAAAGCAGAAATCTTGCATAAGTAAAATAGAATAATGCGATGCGATGATATACGATAAGAGAGATTAATTAATGTATATTTATGCATGCGAAAATGCGGAGTTTAATAGCTCAATGTTAGAATTGTGCAAAAGACGATTATCATTTGATAGTTCCAGTCCTTCTACTTCTTATTTCTCTTCCACATCGGGTTTAAATAAAGCGAGCAGTGATGATTTGGCTGTGGTATTGACATAAAATGAAAAAATTGTTCCATCTTTCGCTAGACAATGTAATACTGCTGAGTTCGCTCCAATCAAAATTTTTGATCGTCTATGAATTGCATCGATTTTTTACATGAAGGAAAAGTGATCTTGTTGAAGTGAAAAGTATTCTATAAGTATTTTTGAGATTATTTGTATGATTGGTTTTTTTTTTTCCATTTCAATGGTAAAATTGAAGAGATTTCAAATATATCAAATTTAATTTAGGCAAATGCTGGTCCAAACACGAATGGATCACAGTTCTTCTTGTGTACTGTGAAGACGGATTGGTTGGATGGCAAGCATGTTGTATTCGGTCGAGTTGCCGAAGGAATGGATGTAGTACAGAAGATTGAAGCTGTGGTAAATTAGTTGTATATTTTATTACATGTAATAATATATTCGGAAAAGTGATAAAAAGATAGTAGTAATGATATGTGAAGTAATCAAGGCTACATTTTTTGCAGTATTTTGATCTTTTCAAAATGTTGACTTACAATATTTATAAGCGAAATATGAAGAATGTAACAGTATCAGTTATTTTAAAGGATGTTATTTTACAGGGTTCACAAAACGGTAAGACATCAAAAGATGTAGTAATCGCGGATTGTGGAGAATTGTAAAGTATCTAACATTAAATCGTATTTCTGGAAGAATCGCGAATAATTTTTCTTTTCATATTTCCCTATGAGTATTTCAATGTTTTACAAAGTTTAATATATTTCAACTTATGTTGGCACGAATTTATTGACGTCATACCAATTAATTTATCAAACAGTTGATGAAAATGTAACCTAGGAAAACAAGTGAGTAACAATAAAGTTGGAATTGTTATGAAGGAAATTCCAGTTGCCTGGGATGCTTTTGAGCTCGAACTAGCTTTCTCTAATGAAAATGTCACCACTGAAAATTCATCAGATTTCTTTTTTGTTACAATTAATATTTGTTTCATCTTATTTCATTTATTCCAGCTAAATTTTCTTGTCTATTTAGATAGTAAAACATTTAAGACATTTGAGTCCCTCAGTTATTGTTTTCATAATTAAATAATACTGTTGTCTTATTCCTTCCTTGAATAGTTGCTTGCTTAAAATTTGCTTAACTTGTTTTTAATTCATCTTGCAAAAATAGGACCGAAAATCTACTTTGTTTAATGAATAATATTAATGAAAAGCATTTATATGAATGTGTGTTATGACAAAAAAAAAATAAAATACAACGATATCGTATGTCAGGTTATTTTATTTAGCAGAAAAGTTCTTTTATCACAATCCTTCATATTTTGTGCATGATTTCCGGATATATATATATATAATTCCGTACAATATTATAGTATGGTATTGTGTAGAAATGATGAAGTCATCAAATTATACAACTGATTAAGGTCATGCGCAGAGAAGCTTTTGTAAGATAAAACGTTCATCGGGCTTTCTCTTACATCACTTACCAAAACGTAGTTTTGCAGAGAGAGAGAGAAAGAGGGAAAGAGGGAGAGGGAGGGGAAAAGAGAGGGAGGGAAATCGCCAATAAACGCAAAGAGGGGGATGACGAAGATGGGATGTTATGTATGTGTGTGTGTGTATGTGTATGTGTGCATGTGTATGTGAACTTGCAATAAATTGATTTCTCAATGATGAGTGGAAAGGGATATCGCAATAATTTGGCGTGTGACAAACATTCATCTCGTCTTCATTATTGAAAGTGAAAGAAAGAAGTAAATTAAAGCTTTAGTGTTTGTATGCAATTCTGATAATAATGGGGAATCAATTTTGAAATATGCATAAATAAACTATTACTAATTAAAAAAAAAAAATTCTAATTTTATACTTCCAATCTATTAATTCTTGAATTTTTTCATGCAAATAAAATTTATTTTGTATGTTAAAAATTTGAATATGTTAAAAAAAAATGAGTATATTAAAAGTTTGAGAAAGGAAAAATTTTTTTCGAAATAGATTTAAAATTGTTAAATTAGATTTTTTTTTTTTGTAACTATAAATTAGACATTTTGAAATGTTTTCAATTGTCTAACAATCATTTTACCATTCTTTCGCAATTCTCGATATAATTGAGCGGTGAGCAATTAAAAAAAAAAAAAAAAAAGAAAGAAAGAAAAAAGCACTCGTCAGAGAAAGGAACTGAAATGTGAAAATTCTCGTTCACTCCTCTCTCATCACATACATACATATCATCATCATCATCATCATCATCATCATCATTATTTCTATTTTATCATCCTATTATTCGTCATTTCAAAAATTTTCTACAATAAAAATTTTCGAAAATCATTTCCAAAAATCTTTACAAATTTTCTTAAAATTCCATCATTTCCAAAAATCTTTACAAATTTTCTTAGAAATATGAATATTATCAATTTGTCAATTCTCATTGGTACATTAATAGTACAGTTGTAGACGTTAATTTCAAATTTTTTGAATTATATATATTGAAGTAGCATAGAACATATTCGTATTTTGGCTGCTGTCTTTTTTTTCTTTTAATTTTTTCTGCATTTTAGCTTTCCACTATTTTCGTTTCAGATTTTGAAAGTAATATTGCATGAATAGAGAGACTTATAAAGTTGTCAGCAAACATTTTCACATTTTCTGATGAGGAAGAGATTCCCGAACTATCTGAACAAAATGACAAATTCATATGAAGATTTTTCCTACCGACAAATTGACCAATTTCTTTTTTTATGTCATTTCTCATCAGATAACTTGAGTTTACTTTCCACTGTTTTATTTTTGTTGTTGGGATTGTTTTTACATGTTCCACTCAATATATTGCAGTAGTATCGCGACAGATTATTTCATTATGTTTTCATCGTGTTGATAATTTTTTGATAAATTACTGTTGTATATCTGTTTGATTGCTGTTCAAAATCAAATATGAAATAAAGAACACAGTTTTATACATATCCGAGGACATTTCTTCATAGTATTTGCGAAGAAATGTCCTAACAATAAGTTGCTATAAAGTTGAGGCTTTATGCCATAATGGCGGTTTTTTGATTGACTTGATTGATCCTTATCGTTTTTTACTTCACTTTTTTGAGATCATTTTATTTTCAGTCTTATTAGTGGAAAATAGTAGTGGGAGAAAACATGGGGTCAGGTTTGAAGTGTATTTCAGTTATACCTCAAAATATCCATTCTGAACACTATAAACAAAAGTTTTCGATAAAGTTGTAAATGTTCAGTCATAAATCGTTTTGTGGGACTTTCTGATGGGTAGTCATCGTGGTAAGATCTTTTCCCCGACCTGATTTGTCACTACCATCAGCAGAAATGTAATGTGCCCATCATAATGTGATAAAGAAGTTCTTTATCTGGACAGAATCGATCAATCGTTCACAATAATCAAGTTTACTAATAGAAATATTCTGGTAGTGAATAAAGATAACCTATTCTACATTAGAAGTATTCAAAGAATAATAAAAGATTTGAGATTAAAGATTTCTTCTGAAATTCACTCATCATTACCAGTAAAAATTTAGCTTTGCAATGATTAAATTAATTTATCACAGTTGAGAACTTATATGTAACAAGTGCCAGATACTAAAATTTAATTAAATTAGCACAATATCACCTGGTTAAATTGAATATCAAAATAACTTTAATCTGAAAGTTTGAGAATCAAATTTTCAGATTAAAATTATAATTGGGAATCAGTTGTATTGCGACAGTGGAAGAGATTATAACTAATGTTAACCGAATAATATACTCAAAATTTTCTGAAATTATCAGAGAAAATTCTCTCAGACGATGGGTTAACTTAAATTTATTTGCATTTATTTGTTCAATGAGTTTTGATGAATGGAAAGAAACGATAATTGGGTGGAAAATCTCTTTTTCTCACCTCTTTTTACTAAAAACAAATGTAATATTGGCTAAACATAAGCACAAATTTTCTAAATTGCAAATTAGAAAAAATAAAAGGAACTGTCTTTCATAAGGGAATGTGAAAGAGAGTATTTCAAAGTATTAACTGTCTGCTGTTTTAATCTTTTATAATTTATTATTATATCAATTTTAGATTTAATATGATTTTTTGCAGGTGAAAAGTATTAATTAGTAATTGAGAAACAAATGGTGAAATGTATGTGGAAAAGAAATGGGAATAGTTTATTAATATATTAAATCAAACTAGTAGATCGATAGGCTGAAATGAATGAGATATTCTAAAAAGATGAGTTTCTAAAAAAAATATAATTTGTAAAAATATTTATAAAAAATTGCTGAAATGAATGAGAAGATAAAAGATCAACAGCAAGATTTATAATTTATTTACATGTTAGATTAGGCAAAGCAGAAATTTTGAAACGATGCAGTGATACATATAAATAAATAGTTATGATCGTATTTGGGGCAACGAAAGATTATTCTCAACAGATGTTACAAGTGTGTGGATAAATGAAATATGAATGCGAATTTCATCCCATTTTTCAATTTGCTGTTCGAGAATTTGATTACTTATTTAAACTTATTTTCTTTGAAATTATTTAGAGAAGAAAATGTCCATAAAAATATGTACTGGTTGCTCAGGAATTTTTCGAATTTTGATGAAATGTTACATTTTACAGTTGAATTATTTAATTATGAATGAATTTTATCATTGCTTTTTTTGTATGTATGAATTAGTAAACACAATTCGTTACATTTGAAAACGTAATGCTGGCATGATGATAGTTATAAAGTGAAAAAAAAAGTAAACAAGAAACCATTTCCCAGCAATAACTGAATCTTATTTTTATAAATAAACTTTCAGTTGAAATTCAAATCTTCCGAGAAAAACGCGCGCAATTTGCTGTAACAGCCATTTAAGGCATTATCATTGAATGCTATTCATATTATTATTGCAATTACTGCAGGCACTATCAGTGCGGATTACGAGACGTTTCTTCTTTTTTGACATATCTCACTGATTTTAGGTATCTTTCAAGAAGAGGTCTGAAATGAACCAAAATGAAGAATGGTATGGATTGTTGAAGAAAATGAAAGATTTACATACATCTTTAAGTCCATCAAAACTTGAATTTGATTTTGCAGAAATCGTTGCATGACAATAAATATTTACTGTGATAAAAGGCCGCAAATGATGTACGATCTTTTGAACAGTTCGTTTACTAATAGTTGAAATATGGAAATGAATAATAAATGAAAAAGAGATGAGAAATGCTCCAAAAAACTTTTGTGTTTTGTTAGATAAAGGGACACCCTTTTGTGTCTGACATTTTCTTCATCACAACATTTATCACTTTTTACGGAATTAAAATTCCATTCGCATTTCTGACACATGTTTTCTTCAGCGTAAGGTATTATAATTTATAATGCCTGGTTATGAACATTATCATTACAGTAATCTTTTTGTGATAATTTTGCACTGACATTGCAGTGAATTTAGCGAACTATTTACTTAAGCAATTATCATCGTACCGTACTGAATCAACATCTATACATCGCCCTTGTCTTTTGATATTTCAATTTCCCCATCACTCTATTTTGCAAGCATAATTTCGTAGAAAACAAAATAAATGAAATGGGATAGGTCAATTTCTCTGCACTGACTGCTTCTTGTCGACATTGTTTGTCATCATTGGGAAAGAGAGAAGCGTGCTGCC